TTCTTGAATGTTAGGAAGGGAGGTAAGGCTTCTTGGATCTGGGCGAGTCTGTGGGAAGCCAAAAAGTGGATGAAATAAGGAGTGATCATAGTTATCGGCAACGGGAAATCCACCAGAATGTTCTAGGACCCTTGGAGATTCGACCGAGCAGGACCCCTTCTCCAGTTTGACTGGCCAGATTTGTGATTTGTCAACTGCTGACCAATGGATTGATGGGATCTCCAGAGAATGGAATTTTGACCTTCTTGCAGACTTCCTTAGCCCCCAAGACTTGAGGCAGGTGGCTGCCACTCCTATTGGCCCTGACTCCCTTGAAGACTTCTGGGTATGGAGATTCATTGATCGAGGCTCCTTTACGGTCAAATCGGTGTTCCATCTCTTCCATAACCAGTTGTGTCTGTCCTAGGGGCAGGTGATGACTTCAATGTCAAGTAAAGAAAGATGGAAGTGGCTATGGAGCCTTTCCCTACCGCCGAAGCTGAAATTTTTTGTATGGAGATGCGCTAAAGGAGCCCTGGCGTCCAAAGAAAACCTCCATTCAAGAAACTGCTCTACCACTAAGAGCTGCGCGCGGCCCCTTCAGAATCGATCCACCACATTCTCTTTACGTGCCCTCATGCGGCAGAGGGGTGGGGTCAAGATTGGCCATCCTTAACAGCTCCTCCCCCACTCACCCCCATTTTGGAGTGGCTCGATTCTCTGAAACCCAGGTACTCGATCTGCTCTATCCAAAAGATTATCTTCCTTCTATGGCAGACATGGAGAACGAGAAATGAACGTATTTTCAAGAACAAATCTCCTTGGCCCCCCTCCACGATCTCCAAGGCCACTCTTGCCTACCATCAGTGGACTTCCTGTCTCAGGAAGAAATCTTCAGCTCCCCCCCCACCCCAGCGTAACCCACCCCCGGATCACTCTTCACCACCGCCAAGTACTCATGACTTTGAGATACACTGTGATGGATCGTTTTTCAGCGATTCCTAGGAGGCGGCTTATGGCGTCGTCGTTACGAACGACCATGGTCAAGTGTGCGATGGGAAAGCTGAGCCCCTGCACTGTTTTTCCCCACTTGAAGCAGAAGCTAAAGCGTTATGTGAGGGAGCCCTCTTGGCTGTCGACCTTCACAAGCCATGCCTTGTCCGTTCTGATTCCCTTGCCTTGATCCAAGCTCTTCAGGGTCACCCTAAGTCATGGCCGTGGCGTGCAGCAGCGTCGCTTGGCACCATCAAGAAGACCATTGAAGCTCACCCAATGATCAAGATCAACCACATCAACAGGAAGAGAAATTTCAAAGCAAAATTGGGTTGCTAGGTCACGTGCAAAAAATTAGTTGCCCCTTCAATGGATTCAGATTCTTGATGTCGTTGCTCCCCTCTTGTAAATTTTGGCTTCTGCCACAAGTAATGAAAATTCAATGACTTTTGTAAAAAAAAAACTCCACCACTCTCTTCATCGTAGGCCTAACCGAAGGATCCTCCTCAGTGCACCACGAAGCAAACATCACCCACTTCTTCAACCTCCCACCTCCTCTTCAGTCTTCACCCACCAAAAGATTAATCCTCCCTCCAGCAAAGCAATCACAAGCCCAATCCGTCAATATAGCCTTCTCTTCCTCCCCACTCCACTCCAACCCCATCCCAACACTCTTCCTACAACACACAACCTCCACCAGCACGACCACGGAGCTACCCAGCAATGCTCTCAACGCTACCCAAAAGCGAAGTCGGCAGATGGTGAAGTTCGTAGAGAGTTGGCGTTGCTACCCCCATCAGCTGTTAGGGATGAGCCTTATGTAAAAGTTGCAAAGGAGACATGTGGAAGAGAGAAGCACATATGTAAGGAAGAAGAAGAAGAGTAAGGAAAGGAGGCATCTTTTGCTTAGACTGTGCATGAAATGTTTGGTTTTCATCTGAAAGTTGTGGGGATCATTTATGAATTAAAGCCAATGGTTCCTGTGAAGAGAAGTTGCCTTCCACTTTTCCCATGACTAAGACTGGTTAAGTCACAGGAAGTAGCTTCTTGTCTGCATTGGACGACCAGATTAGACACTAGGGCCTTGTTTGCTTAATGGATTTCATCATGGATTTGGTACATAAAAACCAACCATCATGGACTTTGTACACAATCCATCTTTTGCTTGATGGATTTAGCAAGGACAAATCCATGGGGCCCGCAGTGTTTTAGAGTCCAAATCCGTGGACTCCACGAACTTGAGAATTCCACCCCAAGAGGTGGGATTTGTGTTGGGTACAAAGTCCATGATTACTTTTTACAATTTTAACCCTACTTATTTCACTAATCACCAACTTATCCTCTTTCATTTACTAATGACCAACTTGCGGTGCATAGTAATTTTGCATTCATTATTTATTATTATTCATTGCATACAAGCACTACATGATTAATCTCAAAGCATACTTTGCAACATTGAAAACCTTAAGGAATTGTCTAATTGTGTGTATGATATAAAGTTGTTATTGATTGATGATGTTCATTTGTTCCGATAGTGTTAGTGGAAAGAAGCTATTAGATGAAAATTGTTTTGTAATAAAAATTATAATGTAAAAATAAATAATACTCAATAAGGGCATTAAGGTAAATTCCTAATACAACCACAAATATAACAATGTCAAATCCATCATGAAAACCAACAAGCAAACAATGGTTTGTACAAAGACCAAATGGGGCAATTCCATCATATATCCATGATTTTGTAAAACCCACGTTTTAACCAAAACCTTCCTTTTTCAAATTCATAAAGCAAACGATCCCTAGATTCCTTTTCTTGATCGGGAAGATATGGCTAGTTGGTTGACCTTGTCATTTTCTAGGAAAATCCAAGATCAGCCTTCCAAAAGGTTTCATGAACCTAGCATGCAGCACTGTTGCAAACTTCTGTTCCATAAGCATGCAACAAATTCATGGGAAGGATTAAAATTGACTCATAACCTTATTCAGTAGGGAATTCAATTGAACAAACTGCTGCAAAAGAAATCAAACTAAGAACCTCCCAAATCCAAAATCTCCACCTTTATCACATCGTAGAGGACTGATTTGTTTTGCTGTCAGTTAGTGGTAAATTTCAAGTAGGGAGTGTAAGTTAAAATTGATGTCTATTTGTTTGTGCAGAAGTATAATGATTTGATGATAGACATTGCTAAACCTACGACCATAATCTTCCCGTGGAATCTCAACAATGGTCAGTGGCACAAGAATGAAAGGGCCAGGGAAGCATGAATGAGAAGAACAGAAGGAACAAGGAAAAAGAGGATGGCAAATTTCTAGCTCATTCATACAAATCAGGGAAAAAAGCACAACAGTCTGACTGGATAAGCTAAAACTGCATACCATTAACCTGACAACAGGATTCAATGTTTTCTAGGTTATACAAGAAATTGCAGAGTCTTATGGATCAAAACATAGAGGAAGTGAGCTCAGCGATATCAGTTACGACTTGATCGTAATCAGCCTTCAACTTCTCCTGCTCCTCCTTGGGAATCTCTCCCTTGGGAGGTTTTGTCAGTACGAGAACGCAGCATGTAGGCCTCTTTGTGTTTCCTGCAGTTGCAAGATCCTGGAATGGCAAAGATCAATAAGTAGGAAGTGACCATGAGTGTTCTGCTCATCAGCAAGTGGAACCATCTACTACCATTCACAACAGAATCACCAAACACAGAAGACATGTCACACAACATATGGACTTACTTCTTTGGAAGGGACATATATGTATGGAATTTCGGACTCTTCACACAATATTGGAACATGAGTGATGACATCGATTGGAGATATGTTCCCAGCAATAATGCATATCCTGCATTGAAACCAATACATCATTCCATTACATACATCCGGTAGTGACATCTCTTTCAGTTCATTACCCACAATGATAAGCCACCACTACTATTCTATAAAGCCAAACAATATTACTTAATTTCATCAGAAAACAGTCCAGAGCATTATTATTAGATACTACAAAAGAACACCAGCTTCCCGAAAGCCATAAGGTATTAACCCAATTAACATAAAAATCCAACTCATTCAAAATCAGCCAGCTTCAACTTTCAGAATGCATTAGTTCATTTTCTTTTACACTATTAGGAGGTGAGTAGTAGTATTGAGTATCAATCCAGTGTAAGAATCTATTATCCACTAGTCCACTACTAAACTGTGACACATCTTAGTTCCCTTTCTTCTTTCTTCAAATTTCATAGTATCCGATACAAAAGGTTCAATCAAATGGGGGAAAATTTATGGTTCAATCCATCAATATCAAGCAACGAAAGCTTAAACGAAAACTAACCCTTTACCGCCCCTCCGAATGCTCTTGACGACCTCCTTCACTCCTCTTTTCAGGCACTTGTGTTCAGCAGCTGAATCAAAAATCAGTGGCCAAATAAAAAACCAAACACCCATTTCATTCAAGGGGGAAATAAATCAACAGCATAACCCAAAGGTGAATGAAAGATGAAAACCGCGAACTCGAGCGACAAATAGATATACCTCTGCGGACGAGCTTGAAAGTTCGCTTGGAGAGCTTCTTGCCGGCTAGAGGCTTAGCGATAGGAGCCAGAGCTATGGCCTTCTTTTGCTTCTGTGCTGACTTCTCCGTTTCGCTGTCGCTTCCCATTTTAGCTTCTTTTGAATCCACGCGGCACCTCTTTCTTCTTCTCGGCAGCAAAGGGAGAAAGCTCGAACGATGGCGGAGCCGGAGATTAGGGTTTTGCTATTTGGCGCTGTTTGCTTCTTTTATAGTGACGCAGGGGTTTTAGGGGATGACGTGATAACGGCTGGAGTCATTTATCAAAATTTAATTTTGTGCAACCGGTGGAAACCGTTAAAAAAGCGAAGCTCAAGCCCAAAGGACAATTGGAGAAGCCCAGAGAAACTAGGGCCCACAGTCCACGTCTATTTTTTTATTGGAACAGGCCCACGTCTTTCAGAGGAAAAGAATGGGCGGGAAATAGAGAAGGCAAAAGTATACTTTCAGCGGGAAGACTGAAGTGGAGTTGAAAACAAAAAAGAAATTTCCCAGCAAACACCACCGCCAACACGCCTTCTCCAACCTCTCGGCCGCCATTTTTGCAATCACTAGAAGAAAAAAGGAAAAAAATGCCACCGAGAAAGAAGCTGAAGTCCTCTACCACCTCTTCTACTTCTACAGCTAAGAAGAAGAAATCCGAATCCTCTGCTGATTCTCTGCATCAGCAGCCTTCGAAGTTTGGGATTCAACATTTCTTCAATCGCCACAACCAGAGCCAAATCGGTTCTCCGGCTGCTTTTCAGAATGAGTCGTACCCTCCGCCACCAGCGCCGCCTGCTGAACGTCCTCTTCTTTCCCCTATCGCCGACCCCAATATTACCGCTCCCATTCCCCAAAACCCTAATCGTGCGGCTCTTGCTGCTTCAACTTCTCAAATCTCTTCACCGCCCCCCGCGGCAGTCCTACAATCTGTTACCGATGAACCAGAGCCGACGGGTCAAGTGTTCATCTCGCCCGGAGCTTCTAAGTCTCCCTCCCGGAAGCAATTCCATTTCTCGCCTCAACTGGTAATCGTCACTCTTTTCTTATCTCTTTCTCTTTCAATTCGGAATTTCGGGTTCTGCTAAGCTATGTTGTGGAACAGCTGATAAAGCTGACCCAGGATGATGGGGGAGACGAGATTACATGGAAGATATCGCCCGTGAACGATAGGCTGCAAGCTGTTTCCAAGCATTTGCCTGACAGCATTAAGACCTTGGCTGATGCTTCGAAGCTTGCCTCCTTCGCTATTCACCATTGCGCGTTAGATAAGGCATTTTACTTCGCTTTTGCTGCAATTGGTTATTCTCTTGCTATACTTTCATTCGGCATTACTTGAATGTATTCTTCTTATCGATGGCGAACAGGACAAGGTTACGCGGCTGTCTTCTTCATTAGCCCCAGTCAGGGAAACTAAAGCTGGCTTCAAAAGGATAAAAGCATCACCGGAGGTAGCCATCTCAGAGGGGAGTTGCGTATCTAGTCAACCCAGTCCATTCAAAACTCCCCCATCTCTAACCTGCCATCAAGATAAGGTACTTAGTCTCCCGGTAAGATTGCCTCACTTTGATCTCTTGAAAATGTGGGCTTGATTTCCTAAAATGTTTATGTTTACCAATAACATGAGCAGATGGCCAACATTTTTGCTGGAGCATCTGAGGAACTAAGTCAAAGGCACCACAAAAAGGTGTGTTCCGGCTTGTAGGTTTAACCGTGTTCATGCTTTGAAATCTTTGGAGTATGATAAACTCGAACTGTTGATTTACTACTGGCAAAGCTTGAATGTTCATTCGAAAAGAACACACTCAAATGGAGACTGAGAGGCTTAAATCCTGGAATGATGGACTAATCTTTATATGGTCATCCTTATTATCTGTATGTTTCCTTATTGTCTTAGGCATTGATTGAACTTTTAGATCAAGTTGAGGATGCAATTTCTATTGAAGACTTGATGTCTGCGGACTTGAATGCGCGTTCATCCCAAGTCCAAGAAAAAGGTTGTCAGCAGAAGGCGTTCCATTCCGATCCTCCACAAACAATTGAAAGGGCTCGCAAGATATCCTCAAGTAGCAAGTTTCTTGTACTGGAGGTGTGTTTTTTACTTTTGGTCCTTTCCCATAGGAAGAGCAACCTCTCTGGTGTTAGTGGATCTATCTTTAATCTTACATTTTTCTTTGCTCTAGGTTTGTGAAAAGCATGGGCCTAGTGATGGTGTGGCAGTTGAACGACCGTGTAAGGTGTGTTTTTTTATCATAAATTGACTTAAACAATGTATTTTAGAAGATGTACCAAGGAACTGAAAAGAATCAGTTACTTTTCAGGTTCTTCGCTTGCTTAACGAGAAAACAGGAGAAGAGCAATCAGTCTATTTGTGGGAAGAGTGGTACTTACTTCCTTGGTGTTCGGAATTTTGAATGATGGCTTGCAACTTTTTGCATCCCTTTGATTGTTTTAATTTTCTTGTGAGCTTTGTTGTCATAGTTTTGAAGTTTACATCCAGGTTATAATGCTTTGCAAGGTGGTTGCATGAGTAAACTGGTTGTGGTTTGATTGATAGAACTCTTTGATATTTGGTAACTTTCAATACCCGTTGATCACCCAACAGAGCTAACTGTTTTATAAATGCTTTGAACTTTTATCAGGTATTACAGTGTTGTTGCACCCGGAGATACTGTCAATGTGATTGGTGAATTTGACGAATCCAGGAAGTGCAATGTCGACAAGGACCATAACTTTTTGGTTGTTCACCCAGATATATTGGTCTCTGGAACTCGGGTAATTATTCTTCTGTGAGCCAAATTGGCATTTGAGTAGTTTAGTTGTCCTTATATTGCGCCTTGTGGCATTTTCCTTCAAAGGATTGTTGCAGAACTGTGGCTCTTCACTATGATTCTCCTAATGTGTCAAGAGTGTTTTCAGGTTGCCGGAAGCTTCGGTTGTCATAGGCGAGCTGTACTTGATGAGAGACTAAAAAGCTTTGAGCACTCTGCTGCAGCATTAATTGGTACTTTGCTGCATCAGATTTTTCAGGTTTCATGATCAGATTGATTATCTCCCTATCATCTAATTTCAATATCTCTCTCTAGCATGCATCCTTCTTGTCAAGTGCATAGGTACATTTGAACTTGGTTCATTGTGGTCAGCTAGCTATTATGTGAATTGTTTTTCCAGGCTGCTTTAATAAAGGAGAATCCTGATGCTGACTTCTTGAAGGCGTATGCCAGAACAATCATACAAAAGAACATCGAGAGTTTGTACGCATGCGGGGGTAACTTTCACTTCTTAATATAAATTTGTTTTTGCACCATATGCTAGATATGGTTGACCATGTTAGGAAGTTCTAATCCCTTATTTATCTCGAGTGTGCAGTCGATGAAAATGAAACGCTGAAGACCTTGGTTGACTTGATACCCAAAATGGTTAATTGGATTATTATGTTTAAGAAGTCACAGGTATAATATATATCTGTTGTCATATGTATTATTTCTGTAGTACGGGAGATATCCTTTTCATCAAGATATCTGTTGTGTGGACCTTGTATACTTGGCAAATATCAAGATACAAATGTCCACGGAACAAAAATTTAATTCCTTTGTCTTGTGTGTAACATTAAGTTATATCTAGGAGTTTACCTTTCTGTCTGTTCATGGTAGGATTTACAATTGCCAAAAGTTGAATTTGGTAGCAACGAAGGGATAAAGAAGCTAAGAATTTCAGAGGTAAGGGGATCTGTGCTACTCTTGTTTAACAGTATGTTTTTTGCCAATGATATTTGGTTAACAGTATTTGTTAATTTCTAGTTTCTCAGTGGTCACATGTCATACACTTGATTCCTTATTTTTTAAATTGCTCTTGTCCATTCTGAGCGATTTGGAATCATATTATTTCTAAGAGTTTTAGTTGCATATCTGGTGGTTGCACTGAAATGAAATATGCAGTCATGATCGGTGAAGGCTGATTATATAATTGTTGAATATATTGACTGCCGCTTTTGGATTAACTGAAAGTGAGTTCTCTATCCTGTTTTGCCAAGCACACAACCAGTCTTCGTTTTGTACCATCTCTTTGAGTTCTTGTTTGCAGTGGTCCAACAAACTGGAATCTAATGACAATCATTGTAGGTCTTTGACATTGAGGAGATGGGCTGGGCTCCCAAATATGGGTTAAAAGGAAATATTGATGCTTCTCTTAAAGTGTCAGTTGAGTCAAGTACTAATGGAAAAGCTGAGAAGATAATGCCTCTAGAGTTCAAAACCGGGAAAGTTCGGGATGGACAGGTATGGTTAAAGTTCCTAATTGTTTGACGTTGGATGAAATATTATGTAACTCATGTTTGTTCTTCATATACTGGAAAAATCCTCTTGTGATCTTCTCAATGCAGCTTTTGCAAGTTATTTTCCCCCTTGCTCACTATTGGTTGTTATTTCTTTCTGGCAGCTATCAACTGAGCACAGTGTCCAAGTAATCTTGTACACTCTCCTTATGTCTGAGAGGTAGGTATGAAATTGTATTCTTCTTCAGAATAATGAGAGGCTAGCTTGGGATAGCACACCTCTCTTAACCAGAACAATTGAGAGTGTGGTCATCCCTTTTGTGTACTTGGTTGCCACACCGCCAGGTATCAGGAACATATTGATTCTGGACTCTTGTATTACCTTCAACCAGATCGTACACAGGTATGTTTATAACTGTGCTTCTCAACTGTTCTAGTTTCCACAACTATATGATTTACTGTCTTGCCTATCCCTATTCACACAGGGAATTAAAGTACGAAGATCTGATGTTGTTGGAGTAATGATGCGTCGGAATGAGCTTGCAAATGATATCAGAAAGGCATTAATTTCACAAGTGCTGCCTCCAATGTTACAGGTAGAACTGTCGCTAAAATACAAAATTGCAAGAATTCAAGTACTTATGTGTATGTTTTTCTTTACACGTCTTATCTAGAGCCCAGGAACCTGCAGAACCTGCCGGCATCTTGATGTTTGTACCATCTATCATAAGGTAACATTTTAAGAAATTTAAGTATAAAACTTCCAGTTAGTAGCTGCTGACTAATCATATAGTATCCATCTTCATTGCTGCAGGTCCATGGTGGCAGTGCAGAGGAAAGTGGCCTTGGCGATGTTTTTGAATCAAGTGTTCGCCATCTAACAGCTGGTCATCATACATTCCTCCGCCACTGGGATCGGTTGATTGACTTGGAAGCGAAAGAAACACAGGTGGAAGTTCACTATGCGTTCAAGATTTAGCAAATTATGGAACTCAATCTTCTGATGCGATGTGTCTTTCTATTTATTGCAGCTGGGGAAGAATGAGATCTGGTCTTCGAATGGTAGTCTACCATCTTTTCTACTTGATACAACAAGTAAACTTCCATGCGAGTCATCTACCAAAGACAATGGATTCATCTACCGTTTTCTGTGTAAAACTTCGCCTACTCATGGCACTGATGGCAAAAAACTGTCTGGCCCCCATGATCTGGATCACATGTTCAAAACTGGAGACTTTGTGGTACTTGATTCTATTTGCTAAACCTTTCGCTCTATATTTTCACTGAAGTACAGACTATCATGCTAACAGCTCATCATCATACTGCTGATCAATTGTAGCTATTTTTATGACTAGGTTCTTAGCACTGAACCTGACCAGCAAACCATCACGAGAGGCGTGATAGCAGATATCAACCGCTTCCACGTTTCTGTAATGAATCGGATTCATGAGTTTCCCTTCAGTATTCTTTATGTTGAAACACTGCAATTACTGTTTTCTCAAGTGCCATGTTCAAAGGAGTGGTTTGACTCACATTTTTTATGATTCAATCTTTATGCAGGTCTCCGTTTCTAAGTGCTTAAGACTACCCCGCCGCACTTCCTCAGAGGAAGATGATATCGCTCATAAAGTCTGGAGGATTAACAAAGATGAATCTGTGACTTCATTTTCTGTTATGCGGTAAATTACCTGATTGCTCATTTAACTTTGCCCAGTTTCGCCTAAATCACAGCATGGTTGGTATTAAGGTAGTATATAATGTACACCTCGTTCCTTTCTGTTTGTAGGTCCAACATTACGCAACTCTGTCTGAAGAGTGAAGAAAGTACTCACCTTCGCAGAATGATTGTTGACCTTGAGGTGAATGTCCAAATCTACATCTACTTTCGTCTAAAAACACCTTGTAGGATTGGGTTCCTGACATGACTGATTGCTACAATCACACCATCTCAGGCCCCCAGATTCGAAAGTGGATGTATTTATAGCCAAGACCCAGCAATTTCTTACATTTGGTCAGTGAAGAGCTTAAACAGTGATCAGCGTCGTGCAATTCTTAAGGTTCGTATCAGTCCATTTCTGATCCTCATTTCTGGCACCAAATTCCGTATCAGCTATTTGGTCAACCTCTGAAACTTTTATTTGCCTCATTCTCGTCCTCATCGCCTTGTACTTAATACTGCTTTCAGATGCTTGCAGCTAAGGACTATGCTTTGGTATTAGGCATGCCAGGTACTGGCAAGACATCCACGGTGGTGCATGCTGTGAGGGCTTTCCTACTTAGAGGTGCATCCGTCTTGCTTACGTCCTATACAAACTCTGCCATTGACAACTTACTGATCAAACTAAAAGCTCAGGTAAATGTCCCTTATCCTTCTGTGACGTTTTAATGGAAATTTTATGGTAAACGGCTTGGATGCTAGGCTAATGAAATTATTTAGTTAAGATTAAAAGAAATTATTTCTACAAAATGATGCTGGAACTAGATGTAGAAAATGGCAAATTGAAATTATTTCATAGACTAAAAAGGCGGGAAGAGAAAGGCGGTAGATGAATGAGCAAGTCCGTTTTTTTTACCGCCAGGTGGGTGATTTTGAATGAATTAAATAATTTCGGATAAAAATATTAATCTAATTATTCCGACACAAATCGGAAGTGTCACGAATCAACAATAGAATTTGGCCGTGAAGAGTGTTCGTAGGATTCACACATTTGCTTCACCGTCTTCCCTGCCGCATCCTCCACCGTCGCTCGATCCTTTAACCCGCTTCTCAGAGCTTGATTCAGCTGCCGGATGAATCCCTTGCTACGTCGCTCACAGTGCTCCATAAATCCCGCCAGCGTCCTAGCATCCGTCGTTTCCCCCCAGCACAGCCGCCGGCGGCCACCATCACCGATCTCAGCCGGCAATCTCTCCCAACTACCACCGACGCCGAAACCTGCCATCCTGCTCACGCATTCCACAGCAGCTTCGATCACCCACGATGGAGCTCTGGACTCCTCCCCGCCGTCCCACAGCCAGACTCGTGCCATGCCTCGCAAGAGGGCGGAAGCAATGGCAGTGTCTCTGCTTCCGGCAGTCGGCCCTTGCATCAGGGACGGACTCAATCGGATGACAAATTCGTCGGCGCTTCCGTGGCTCGTGACGGTTTCATCGGCGGTTAGGTTGCCGGTGGCGGTAAGACGGAGAGTGACCCGGCGAACTGGCTTCCTCTGATTTGGATGGTCGTCGGGGGCATAGACCAAGTGCTCGACGAAAGTACTGGCGTTGAGGAGAATTCTGGTGGCTCGGTCATTGGAGATGTAGAAGAGGGCGAATCGTTTGCCAGCCGGGGAGTCTCCGGCATCGTTAAAGATCTGGACTTGGAAGCCTTTAGATTCTTCGTGGCTGGCCCATAAAGAGACAAGTCCAACGGAGAGGATTAATGCGAGGCGGAGGAAGACAGCAAAATTGGAGGAGAAGAAATTTTTGCAGTCAAAATGGGTGGTGGAGGCGACGGTGGGCGTGGGCAGAAGTGGACGGTGGAGGTGGGAAGTGGAATGTTGGTCCGCCATTGACGAGGGTATAATGGAATCAAGTGGCAACCTTTGGAAGGGAATTAATTGCTCCTCAGAAATAGAAAAATGGGAATGAAGTAGATAATTCTCAAGTGGTTGTCAGATGGTTATGCTGTGGGTCTCATGCCACAATGTGGGTTGCCGGCCGCCACTTTCCATGTGTTAAAAAAAAAAAGAATAGTTCTGTCAATTCTCAACAAACATTAGGGACTCATTAATCATGTCTGGTTGGCCCGTCCTACCTGGAATGGATATGATCAATTTTGTTTTATGTTAGAAGATTAAACAATTTGAGTAATTGCAGGGAGTTGATTTCCTACGAATTGGAAGACTTGGCTCTGTTCACGAGGAAATCCAAGGGAGTTGCTTTGCTGGTAAACAAATAGAAATGTCGTTGTCACTTGCTTTGCTTATACAAGAGTCATCCTTTTGTTGTTTCTCATTGAAAATTGTGTGCTGCTGATTCACTACAGATACAGACAACTTGGAGTATATCAAGCTGAGATTAGAACAGGTGAAAGTTGTTGCCGTAACTTGTTTGGGAATCACTAGTCCCTTGCTTACCGGGAAGAAGTTCGATGTGTGCATCATGGATGAAGCCGGGCAGATCACTCTCCCGGTATGTGTATAGTCAAGTGGGAGGTTTTTATTATGTCGAAGAATGAAAACAGTTTGTTGAAAGAAAGAAAGAAAGTGAAGTTTCTTCAGTTTAATGACTGATTGATCTTCTGTCCCTGTCAGATATCACTTGGACCTTTGATGTTTAGTTCGACGTTTGTTCTTGTTGGTGACCACTATCAACTACCCCCACTTGTTCAGGTAACAAAGTTCAGACCCTCGTCTTCCTCCAGGTTGGTTCACTTTGTTGCTCATATTGTTTGTCATTCAAGTGATTGTTTGGTGACTCGATTTGTAGAGTGCAGAGGCACGAGAGAATGGAATGGGGATAAGTTTATTCTGCAAGCTGTGTGAAGCACATCCCGAAGCAATTTCAGCTTTGCAGAGTCAGGTATCCTCTCATCATAAACACCAAAGATATGTGCAATGATGTTATCTTTTTTTGTTTGCAAAACATTATCTGAATAATTTGTCTCCATGCAGTATCGTATGTCTGAAGGTATTATGAAACTATCGAATGCCTTGATATATGGTGATAGACTGCAATGTGGTTCCTCAGAGGTAGCCAACACTAGGCTCAAGGTTTCCAGTCTCAAGTCTTGTTGTCTATGGTTGAAGGAGGTAATGGAGTTGTCTGATTTTATATTGATCTTCGGTCAATTCGGTAAAAGTTCATACAACTCGCATATTTTAATCTGATCGGAAACTTGACTTCTAGAATTTGTTTGGTTAGGATAAAAGATTGATGTGCTTCTCCAATTTTTTGGTAGCAGGTCTTGAGCCCAGACAGGGCTGTGGTGTTTATTAACACAGATATGCTACCTACGCTTGTGGCCAAAGATTCAAAGTCATTGAAGAACCCAATTGAAGCTTACATAGTCACCGAGGTATGTTTACTGCTTATAGCCCTCATTATCCAAGTTCAAAACTATCTGTTTCTGGACTTGAAGTTACCTACGTTAATGGTCTAGGTGATCAAAGTACTGACTAGCAGTGGGACTGAAGGCAAAGACATTGGTATCATCACCCCCTACAACTCTCAGGCAAACCTTATTAAGGCTGTTATTAGTCCAACTTCTGTCGAAGTACACACGATCGACAAATATCAGGTTTGACATTTAGGACTGCATTTTCATTGCCACTTTACTCAATCAGATGGTAGCTTTCTGGTACTTCCAATATATAAATTATGTTTCTTCCCAACACAAAATATCAGGGTAGAGATAAGGACTGCATAATGGTATCTTTCGTGAGGTCAGCCGAAAATCCCAGGAGTTACAGTTCTTCACTACTTGGAGACTGGCATCGGATCAATGTGGCAATCACAAGAGCCAAGGTACCAAATTACCGAAATGTATTTGTCTGTGTAGGATTCGGGTCGATTAAATAAATGGTTACCCTTTTGCATTGTGCAGAAGAAGTTGATCATGGTGGGTTCGCGTAGAACCCTGTCAAAGGTCCCATTGCTTAAGCTTCTGGTGGAGAAGGTCGAAGAGCAATCCGGCATTTTGAATTTGAGCAGCGATCATATTAGTTTGCAGGAGCTGGAGAGCTGGGAGCAGTATCTGTAACTGATGGGTTGTAGTTTAGCTGATTTGATCGACTGTAAATAGTAAATTTTGGTGCTCAACCCTGTATCATTTACTGTAGCAAGGCGACTTGCCATCTAATAAATTGTGTTTAGTATATTTGTGTTTTTGTTGCAATGTAAAAAAAAAAAAAAAAGTGAACCAAGAAGAAAAAATATATATTTAGTTGGATAGTCCATTCTTGTTGTCTAAATTGTGGCAATTATTTTCCAAGAAAACCATTACAGGTTTCTTTTGGAACGGTAAAATTTCATAAGCATTGGTTTGTCTCCATTTTACTTTATTAGATGATATAGGTATCATTCTGTAAATAACCAAGAAGCTTAGGATTAGTATAGATAGATTAAATGTAACTAGGATCTAAAGGTAATTTAGCTAGGTTGTTAGGATTGTAACGGTTTTTCCCTCCTGTAAAATTGAGTATAAATTAAGCTATTCTAGCTAAACTTTGTACGATTTCTTCATTCAATTCAGAGAAACAAGAACTTCAATAAGAATTCTAGCATGGTATCGGAGCTCTTCTGAGCCGATTTCGTCTCATATTCTCGCTTCTGCATCTCCTTCTCCTCTCTTTTCTGAGTTCTTGACATCGTCCTCCTATGAAGATTCACGATTCTTCTTCTTCCGGCGGCGAAGCCGCAAACCCTTACACTGGAGGTCGCCAGAGCAATTCTGGTGTGATTCTGTACAAAGGTGTTCTGATCTCCGATCCCGCCTCTCCATTCTTCATTTACCCATCAGAGAATTGGGGCCAATGTCTTGTCTCCCAGCCACTCAACGAGAACAATTTCTCCAGCTGGGAAAGATCGATGATTCTCGTCATCGACGGCAAGAACAAGTTAGGGTTTCTTAATGGCAAAATCCCGCAGCCAAATGATGATTCTCCACTCCTCGAGCCATGGAATCGCAACAACAAATTGCTTCTTAGCTGGATTCAGAGGTCATGAACCCTACTATTGCTGAGAGTATTATGTATGTCACTACGGCAATTGGTGCCTGGATTGAGCTCCGCGAGCAATTTTCCCAAGGGGATTCTTTTCGCATCGATGATCTTCAAGAATTGATCTTCAATCTCAAGCAAGGTACAATGAGCGTTTCTCAATACTATTCTAAGCAGCGTGCTTTGTGGGATCAATTAGCCAATTATCGATTCATTCATGATTGCCATTGTGGAATTACTTGTCACTGTGTTCTGGCTTCTTTACGCAAGGATTATATGAATGACAAGGTTATTAGATTCCTAAGGAACTTAAATGATAGCTTCAATGGACCAAGATCCACAATTATGCTTTTGGATCCATTGCCTCCCATTAACAAGGTGTTTGCCATGATGGTTCAACACGAAAGGGAGAATGGCTTGCTTCCTAAACCCTAGACTAACCCCAATCCTGCTTCAGAGAGTATGGCTTTCTTTACAAAGGCTTCTGGACAAAATCTGGGTATTCAAGGTGCTGGGCAAGGGTTTAAGAAACAGGGCAAGAAGCCTGTCTGCACATACTGTGGATATACAGGTCATACTGAAGATATCTTTTACAAGAAAAATGGATATCCTCCTGGCTATCAGACTAAGAAGAAGCAACCACCTAGACAGGCTAATAGTGTATCTACTGATCTTGCATCTTCTGTTGGGACAGTAGTCATCAATTAGTCAGACTGGCAGAGTTTCCAGCAGAATTATCACAAGATGCTTAATATCATGCAAGCTTATCCTCAACAGCAAACTACTGCTCCACCATCTCAGTTTTCTGCTCCTCATCAGCAGCATTATCCTCCACCATATGCCTTTCTAGATTCCTATGCTGCTAATAATCCAGCACACTACTCAGTCTCCAATGACAGTGAAGGTTCTGGCCAACATAACATGGTCAGCCGAGCAAACTCTGTTGCTTCTCATGCTTTTGAAACAACTGAACCATCAACTATTCTTCATTATGCTTTAAATGTTAATTGTCATCTATAGAATAGATGGATTCTGGACACTGGGGCTACATATCATATTATCTGTTCTCCCAAACATTTTTCTTCTTCAAAACCAGTTAGTAACACCTATGTTCATATGCCTGATGGTAGTAAAGTTTCTGTCACAGCCATAGGAACTGTCAAATATTCAGAACACTTAATCCTCTTTGATGTTCTCCTTGTTCCTGCTTTCAATTTCAATCTAGTTTCTGTTAGCAGACTAGTTCGCAGCACAACCATTTGCTTATGGTTTCATTATTCCATGTGTTTCATTCAGGCATACCCCAGTTTGACAATGATTGGAACAACTAGTTTGATTGATGGTCTCTACATCTTACATCATCCTTCTCAAACTGCCCACTTACAACATAACCTCATTCTTAACAACACTGAAGCTGCCTCTCCTACAGTAGCTTTTTCTACCTCAAAGATTTCTATTGACATCTGGCATTATAGACTTGGTCATATTCCAGATTGTAAACTCAAACTTTTCCTTAGTATAGATAGTACTATCAATGCTCTTGCTGATTTTCATTGTATGCCCAAAGGCAAAACAGAAGAGGCTCCCTTTTCCTTCTAGTAGTAAGACATCAGCTCCTTTTGACATTCTACATGTTGATATTTGGGGAAATGCCCTTGTCACCTCCATTCAAGGTCATGCTTACTTTCTGACTATAGTAGATGATTTCAGTAGGCATACTTGGATCTTTACGATGAAAGCTAAGTCTGAAGCACGCCCTATAATCATCTCATTCTTTGCTTTTGTTGAAACTCAATTTCACTGCAAGATAAAAGCCATTAGAACAGATAATGGTCTTGAATTTCACATTCCAGAATTCTATAATTCTAAAGGTACCATTCATCAAACTACCTGTGTTTACACTTCCCAGCAGAATGGTATTGTTGAAAGAAAGCATCAACACATTCTAGCAGTCACTAGAGCTTTACTGTTTCAGGCCTCATTGCCACCACAGCTTTGGAACTTTGCAGCCATGCATGTTGTTCATATAATAAACAAAACTCCAACTACACTTCTTCAGAACCTTACTCCTTTTGAGGAACTCCATGGTTCTCCACCCACTCTGAATTATTTAAGAGTTTTTGGTTGCCTCACTTATGCTGCAACTATTCAGGCAACCAGAACCAAACTTGATCACAGGTCTAACCCCTGTGTTTTCCTAGGACACCCTCATGGGACAAAAGGGTTTAAACTGTACAATTAAATACTCACAATGTTTTCATATCAAGGGATGTTTCATTTCATGAAACTATTTTCCCATTTCATCAGTTACCTCAAAACTTGACCCCATCAGTTCCTCTTCCTGTGTTTCCAGTTATCTCTTCAGACCTGGAATTCACAAAAGCTCATACTATTCTTCTTACTCCTATTCCACACTCAATATCCTCCTCAGTTCCAAGTTCTAATCCAAGGGTGAGGGGGTTAGCCCAGTCATGGCTCAATAAGTGAGCTATTTAAGGGCTTTTTTGCACAAGCCGGCCCAGCCGATCGAGCTGAACAAGGTGGCTTGGGTCCACCTTTGATTTGGGCGGGATTGAGAGAGGGAGTCGCTGAGATAACTCCTATCCAACCGAGACAAATAAGTATCCAAAAGTGCACGAACTAATATCCGGTCTGAGTTGACAAAAGAGAGAGAAAAGCATGGCCCACCATCTGCTACTTTTGTTGCTTTTGATGAATTTTCACATGAGAGAGATGTTGAGCATTTAATGCCACCCACCAACTATTCTCACATGGAAGAGAGAAATCGACCCGGATTAATATATCATCCAATCTTGTATGAGTATCCATCCTTAACCAAAATATTATCCATGGGCTGAAGGAAATTAGTTTATGTGGTCGGATATTAGTCTGGACAGTATGAATATTAATTTTTGCATGAACTGATATTATATGCGATAGATATTAGTTTGTGAATTAATTGTGTCTTCCATCAAAACTAAACACACTATCAAGTCCCAACACATAAGGCTTGCAACCTTAGTTAGGGCTGCCCGCCGAGGGCCCATTGGCCGAAGGCCAATGAATCAATAATAGTAGGAGAGTGTGTCTTCCAGACCTTGATATTAGTCCGTTTGTGATTTCAGAAATTAGTTTATGTGGCTGGATATTAGTCAGGTTGCCAATGATATTTGTTTTTTTAAGGGTGGATATTATTTCTAGTGTGGATGAATGTTAGTTTGGGAGCCACGGATATTTTTTCGATAAAGGACACATATTTGTTTTGGGGTGAATGGGTGTTTGTATGGGCAGTATGTATGTTTGTTTTATGAACTTATATTATATGCGATGGATATTAGTTTGTAACTATTCACATGTGAACCTTATGGTCACTATTCTCATGTAAACCTTGTATTAACTATTCAAATGTCATCTTTGTTTATTTAAGCACCCACTCTAACATACTAGTTTCCCAACTTACCCACCACATTGTTTTTCTCTTCTCAAACAACTTCCATGTCTTCAGAGTCGAAGGATGAAGATAACACCGAGGAAAGCATCCGGAAATGAAGTTTTTTTTGTTAGGGTAGGTCTGATATTAGTCCGTTTGTTATTCCGGATATTAATTTATGTGGTTGGATATTAGTCAGGGTGTCAATTATATTTGTTCGCATAAGGATGGATATTATATCTGGGGTGGATGGATGTTAGTCTGGGCGCCACCGATATTTGTTCGATATAAGACATATATTTATTTTTGGGGTGAATGGGTATTTGTTCGATAAAGGACGGATATAGTTTTGCCTGTTATGTAACGGAATATTAGTTTTGCACATGGATTACGAAACTGTACCGGACATCAAACCGGAATCGTCTTTGGCATGGTAAATCGTGGTACAACCATGGTTCAACCGTTTCCTATCGGTAAATACTGTTTTTGGAATAAAAATTTATTTTTTTGTTAAAAAATTGTACCGGCAAAATTAGGGTATCATACCGGGAAAATACCGGAATAAAACCGGATTATACCGCCTAAGAAACTATAAAAGAGTAAATAAGCTTAGGTAACATTCAACAAAGTGCGAGATTTCAATACCTAATAAACCTCATAATCATCCAAATACATTTTTAGAAACTAGTACAAAACAACCAAGCAAAGTTGACAAACCACAAGCTTAATGTTCACAAACCACAAGTTCAATGTCTCAAACTAGAAAGTAGAAACTACTAATTGGATCTTTAGTTTGAAATCAAATCCATATCTTCAAGCAACTCCAAATGTAGAAAAGTCAACATTCGGGAACTC